TTTGCTTTATAACACACGTATCTTCAAAGTATAATGTAGATCTATAATTTAGATGATTAGCTCCAATCTGATATACAACTCCTAATGAAATAGGAATATAGTTCATTCTCTATAGACACCAACTGTTTCTATATACCTTAACAAGAAGGTACAGTTCTACAAAATGAGCATTTCTTCCTGGGAGACAGGCACGTACACAAGAAAATGAAAACACAAATCAAGAGCATTTACCTAAAGCACAGTCTAGTGTCTAGATATGCAAGATGAAGATCCAAGTGTATACACAGCAGTATCTTTGGGAAAATCTGGGCAGTATGTGCTGATTAAAGTCAGTCTTCAACTTTGAAGTCTGGCTTACAGGTTTTTGCTACGTATGATGAGATGGTATGAAAGAAACATCACGTACTTTTTAAACTGCCTGAAGTCAGATTTCTTCCAACACAATACACTGAAGCAAATAACACACGTCTTCAATGAAAAATTAAGCTATAAAAGGCCAATTACATAACAGATGAGACATACAGAATTTTCTTGAGTCTTTTGGGCTTATGCAGTAACTTTTCCTAATGGACCTGATCACATTCAAAGAAAGCTGCAGGAGGTTCAAAAAACAGCCTGAAAGCTGATGCAGTTAAATAAAAGCATGTAATCAACAAACATCATGTAGTTCAGTATTAAAACTGACTATTTAGGGTGATAATTATGTTTGGTCTTTCTGTGTAGAAACAAATATTCACACAGAAGAACAACATGAAAAGCAAAACCCAGGACCTGCAGTGGAGCTCTGAGGCAGCTCTTGAAGCCAGCCGGGAGCCCCATTAATTTCCGAGGGTTTTAATCACATACAGGATGTTTTAAAATTGAAGCTTTATAAATTCTTCCAAAGTATAACTAACTAACTCATGTGTGCGTGATCTGGCACATGCACACTGCCCACGTCCACAGCCTCCTCATGGGAAGAAGAGCACTGCGGGCATGGCTGTGGGTGCGTGCCGGGCAGGGAGGAGGAGGAGGAATCCAGCTTGCCCAGCTGCAGCACATCAGCCTACTGAACTCATCTGAGATGCTGCAGAGGGAAGTTAGTCATGCCAGGGAAATGTCAGGCTTACCCTGCTTTTCCCATGCACTCTGCGGTGGAAGCAGGGAGCCATGGTAAATCCATGCACCATTTCCTGCATTTCTGCGACGTGAATCTTAAATGATTTCTACCAAAAGGTGCCGGGATCCTCAGCTGGGAGCAAAAAAATGTAGACTGCTATCAGCAGCCCAAACAAAACACTTCTCACTTGCTGTGAAGTGCTCTAAGCCCCACAGAGGGAAGACTCCCTGCCTGCTGGCAACTGATTCACAGCTCAGCTCCCTGCCCAGCCCTTGGCAGCACTGGGAAGTACTGAAGCTGGTGCACACCTGAAATTTAAAAATTCACTTACGCCGAGACAGGAAATAATTCTAACCTGCCACTCCAGTCCCCTGTCGCCTAGAACCAGATAGCAACATCTAACCTCATGGATGACCAACTGCAGTGATAATGTCGGAGCCATCTGGTTCAGGCTCTCAAAAGCACATCCAGGAAAGCCCTCTCAGTGACAGCAGCAGGGCTCTGAGCACAATCCCGGCCATATTCCTGCAGTCATATTCCTGCTGAGGAGCCCCATTCATCGAGCTGATTCATCTAGCGCCTGCTGTAAGCTGACATTCCTCCTAGCGCAGGGTGGGGCAGCTGCATAAGGCAGAGGTATCTCCGGTGAGCACAGCGTACCTGGCACAGGAGGAGCTGCCACGTTGCACTGTGGCTGATCCACGTGCTTGCCAGGAGCAACACATGCCCACAGGGAGCTCTGAGGTGTCAGCACCACAGCCTCACCCCACTGTCTGGGGCACAGAATCACAGAAGGGTTGAGGTTGGAAGGGACCTCTGGAGGTCATCTGGTCCAACCCCCCTGCACAAGCAGAGACATCTACAGGAGGTTGCCCAGGACCATTTCCATATGGCCTTTGAATATCTCCAAAGAAAGAGACTCCATAACCTCCCTGGGCAACCTGTTCCAGAGCTCCATCACCCACACAGTGAAGAAGTGCATCCTGATGTTCAGCCTGCACCTCCTGTGTTCCAGTTTATGCCCGCTTTCTCTTGTCTTGTCACTGGCCACCACAGAAAAGAGCCTGGCACCTTCCCTTCAGGTATTTATAGACATTCATAAGATCTCCCCCTTGAGCCTCCTCTAGACTGAACAGTCCCAGCTCTCTCAGCCTTTCCCCAAAGGAGAGGTGCTCCAAGCCCTCCATCATCTTAGGGGACCTTCACTGGACTCTCTCCAAGAGCTCCTTGTTTCTCCTGCACTGGGGAGCCCAGAACTGGACACAGGACTCCAGATGTGGCCTCACCAGTGCTGGGTAGAAAGAAAGCATCGCCTCCCTCAAAACTGCTGGCAACACTCTGCCTAACGCAGTCAAGGAGAAGCAAGGGCCTACTGCTGGCTCATGTTCAACTTGGTGTCCACCAGGACCCCCAGGTCCTTTCTGCAAAGCTGCTTTCCAGCCAGCAGCATCTGCAAAACACACAGCCCAATTCCTGAAACCACCTGTGATCTGCAGAACGGAGCCTGGGAGGTACTAAAACAGACAAAAAGAGCATATGGACAACCACAGCTAGAAATATGTGCATTTGTTAGCATTTAACCTACTTATCAATCTGAACATAAGCTAAGTTTATTTTTATTCTCTGGAATAAAACACTGCAGTTAAAAATACCAGGCGACTGTTTGGGAAGACCATTCCTATCTTGTGAGCAATAGCTGGAAATTATTATCTCTATTTTAATGACACAAAACTGCAAAGGAAAGAAACGTAGAAGCTCAATGAAATCAGTGGAAGAATCTCACTGATTTCATCAACGAGAGGACTGAGTCCAAGGACTATAACCTCTTAGAGCAAAAAGACATCAGATAAGGACTGTAAACATTCCTGTGAAGGACACAGTATCCTTAGGTACAGAAGATATGTTTACAGGAACAGGAGAAACTAAAAGGACACTGACATAGATGGATGCAAAATGGGGACTCTGCGCTTGCTCAGGAGACACTGGACCTCAGCCACTAAATTGTGAGCTTCATGCAAAGCACTTCTGTCAAAGGTGCCTGTTTTTCTCAGCTGAAAAGCTGTGAATGAAGCTCTCAGAGCACTGCCAAAAACAGTATGCCAGCAGAGCAACTGCAGGTAGTCAGTAATACCCTGAAGCATTAACATTTCTGCAGCTGGAGGAAAGAATTCAAGTTTTTAATTCTTTGCTAATTGATCTGTACCACAGCTACTAGTTGATAAGCTGTAAGGGCTGTGCTGCTCTGCATACAAAGCCCTGGTACAAGTCTCTGAAGATCTGGGAAATATTTTTTTCTTGTCCCATCTTATTATGCTCTTTCCTTTTTCTTTTCCTCCCCTCTCTCTGCATCTTTCAAACTGTTTATTTTTTCAAGCAGTTGCCTGTGCTATGTTGATGCTTTTGGCTGCTCTGTCCTGAAGTAAAACAGCCCAGTCCTTTGCCAGTTATTTTACTTTGTCTTGCCAGTGTTACTAAAAGAAGACTCTCTTGTTGGCATGCATCTCCTCCCTCACTGGCCACCCAGAACAGAAGCATTGCTCAGAAAAGCAATTCACTGATTCAGATGCAACTTCATGTTGCCTACCAGTTATGCACTGCCACAGCTACCTTCCCTGGGACTCAGAGCACTGTGCTATGCTTACAGCCCTTCCACACAGTGCTTGGGGAATAGGATGCATCTGCTTGACTCATTTATCCCCCTTTTACTTTCGTCTCTTAGTCCCAACACCGCATGCATGCTGGCTCTTCCTAGGCTTCTTCTGTGGTGAGCCAAGTGGTCCCATGGCAGGAAATCCGAGAAACAAATAAATCTGCACTAGAGAGAGCCAAATTTGATGTGTTTTATTTCGGACACTCCTTTAGCATTATACCAAGGAAATCACGTACTCTCAAGCTTAAGATATACCCAGTCACATGCTGCACAAACTCTTTACACATGCTGTAATAAAACCCAGAAGCTGGAAGCCTTACTAGTGAGGGACGAGTCTGTTCACGTTAATTAGCCCAGTGGCCAGAAGACTCTCCCCTGTGTGGTCCTATAACACACAAACCTCCTTGTTCAAGTCAGGAGCAAACAAATATACAAATACAGCAAGGTGCCACCGAGAGGGAAGGAACACTGAGCAAAGTTGCTTAAATCTTGTTCCTCTGCTGAACTCTGATGCCAAAGCCAGCTTTAAAAAGAGACACCTGTTCTGACTTAGAGTCCAGATGACACCTTCCCTTATTAGTAGACATTTTCAACTGGATTTTAAGTAAGTTGACCTAGTGTTTAATTAAGTTGACCTAGCTTCTACCTGCTGCCATTGGTTTTACCAATGCCTGTTTATAACAGCAGGGTCACAAACGTATAGTAAAGGACAGCAAGTAGCAGCACAATGCCCTTCTCAGACCAGGAGCATTCAAGCCAACTGGTTCCATTTTCCAGGAGACTCATCTTAGAGTAACCTGGGCTTCGAACAAAAACAGTGCAGAAGCACTCAGCTCCACAGGGACAGTAGAGTCAATGGAGAAGACAGTGGGGAATTCAGACATAGCTCATGTCGTAAGGCTTATCTCAGTAGCTGAGGGCCTTCATTAGCAGTGCAATTTTGGCCTCTGGTGTTTAGCTCTGCCTTGACCGTGCCTGTACTTTGATGTTACAGTATGACCAAAGGGACACTGCTCAGTTGGAGGTGCCCCATGTAAGATGTGTAGGATTTGTGGGGACTCACCTCTGAAGAATGAGGGAAACCAAAGGGCTAATGAGGCATCTTTTGGCTGCTAAAGCAAGAGACTGCCCAGGAAGGGACGTTGCCATTTCCACAGCCACAGTGCTATTACAGGCAGAAACCACAGAGCTCTCTATGTACTTTATAATACTGTAATTAATACTTCTCAAGAGAACAAATGAAGCACTTACCTGTATTTATGAATGATGGCATTAAATAATCTTCCATCACGCCAGCAGGTAGTGAAATTTTCACAACGGATTCCAGCATAGCCCTCAGTTGTCTGCTGCGACCACAGGAGCAATCTCTCTTTAGCAGACATGTCCTCTGACTCTCCAGTAACATGGATATCAGATATCTAAAACACAATTAATGTAAGTATTAAAATTACATAAAATACTCAATAGTATTTAAATGATTGTGGAAAAACACTCTTCAGTAGTGAATATTCTTCTTTCTTTGGTATCTGCATATATCATCATAAATGAATATAATTATTCACGTACTAAATTAATATTATTCCTTGTCATATCCCTATACACTCTTGGTGTCTTCATTATGAAATGCAAAGGGTGTAGTATCACAATTAGTCAGCCAACTCTCAGTCTCAATTTCTGGGGACACTATAATACTCTTACACAATGAGAAATACTTAAATATGTCTACTTTATGCTGATAATATGAATAATAATCTCTTTTTATATATTATACTCATTATACATAAATGTTATATAATTATATATATAATACAATATGTGCTATATGTAGGTAATCATGCCTACATAATACCCATATTTATACCATACATATTATATATATTTTATTTAGCTGTAATAACGGACTGTTTCCCTCTTAATACAGGTTAAATTATATTCAGCAGTTCACTGACAAAACAATCATTAATATTAAAAATGGCACGAATGCTTTTAGGAAAACATTTTAGGAATGATTGAAAGATTATAACTGAAAAGTTCACCCCAGATATAGAGGATTTGGCTTTGTATTCTCTAAGCATTACCATCTTTGTGTCAGACAAAGCAGGAAAGCTGGAAAGTACTGGTAATTTTACATACAAATACTATTTTCTAGCAGATGGTCATAATGATGCTTCCTGGCCTTGAAATCTCTGAATTCAAAGGTTTCTTCCATCTGGGATCTTCCTGGGGGAATTCAGACAGGCCAGGCTGCAAATTACAGTTTCTTTCTCCCATGAGAGCCACACAGGACCCAGTGGCAGGAACAAAGAGATGCAGCTTTCCTAGTGGGGCTACACAACACCTACCAGGAGGTGGTGGGAAGCACTAGGAGGCAGGGGACAAAAGGAAGAGACCTGGAGATGTCAGGGCAATGGAGCTACTGTGCTTGAACCACATTTCACATTTGCAGGGGATGATGAGCATTTACAGCCACCTGGTAAATTTTAAGTTTAATGCAGGGAATAAATTAACTTCAATTGTTTTCTAACTAAGTATCAACAAAATCACAAGTTATGAAACCAGTTTTTCAGATACGTATCAAAGGCCATCATTTCTGCTGGCTCAAGGTAAGGGAAGGATGCAGATAACCACTGCTAGAAAGCAAAAAATTTAACTGTGGCTAGTCCATAAACAGCCTCCAAATAAACAAGAGCAGTTTTGCTTCCTAATGTCCACAGCTTCCACACTGACCATTTTTAAGAAAAATCAAAGGAAAAAAATCCTTTCTTTGTTTAAAACACTGAAGAGAAACACTTGCAGCTGTGATTGTTCATAAATCTTTAGGTGTCAAAGTGCTGCATGGAATATTTACTACATGAAATCACAGGAAGTATAGGATGTATGAATCTTAAATCTGAAATCAACAGGGAAAGCAATGTGGCAAAAGACCAACTTAAAATCTCTCTGAAAAGTTTCTTCTAAAACTCTGTGAAATTCATCCTCAATGTAAGAGTTCCTTTCTGTTGGCTACCTTTATTCCATGGTACTTCAAAGCAAGAAAGCAAACCAAATATTTTTTCAGTAGCTTTAGTTTCTATTCATGACAAAACAACCAGACCACGATGTAAATGAAGTCAACCATTTACCACTTATCCGGCCAATGCTTCTGAAAGAGATGATGTCATCTGGAAGTGCCAGATGTCTAACAAAAAACTAAAAGCGATATTTTTTCCCTCTTTTTTTCAGAAATCCTTCTGTGTGTAACCCTTAAGAATCACATTTTTCAATACATCTGAACATAAGCAAGTGAGCAGTGTAATTTGCTAATGGCCATTCCTTGCCGCTAGGTTGAAACCTTTGGCCTCCTTCACGGTTAATTGAACTGTGTTGGCAATGTACATTTCCAACTGCAGAGAGTGCAAGCACAGCATATTTGAGTGCATGTCAGATTCCTCCAGCAGAAAGTGATTTCAGATATCAAGGCAATTTCTGAAGGTCATGCTTGTAGCTGTTATTACACGTAAACAGCATTTGTAGCTATGGTCACAGACAGAGGAGAGAAGTTCTCCTGAAAGATACCCACTAAGCAAGTTTTCAGTCCAAGTTCAGGATGGCTGAAGTATGAATTTATCTCATTACCCTAAGATCAATAGGATTTTGATCACACATCCTCTGAGCACCATTTCGCAGCCCAGTTGGCCAGCTGAAGAAACAGGAACAAACTACACTGGCTTCAGAAACTAAAGTCGCTTTATGGTCATGGAAGTAGCCCCTCTTAATACAGGTTAAGGAACACTAACATTATTAACTTTAGATCTGTAGCAACCTAAGAACTTCTGTTTCTTAATTACAATATTTCAGATTTTAAGGCTAAGATTTCAGACTGTCATAAACACTGAATTCATGTTTAAAAAGTGTGAAAACACAAAGGAGGGAAATGGTGAGTCAAAGAGCTGTATTTTCTTATGCTTACATATAGGAGCTGTAGTTTGCAGGACATCCTGTTAACTCTTAACGCTTAACAAATAAAATATTACTCCCAGAAAATAAGGTGTCAGAGAGAGCACATCTTCCCTTTCATATTTTGTATTTATAATATTTTATATTTATAGTATTTTATATTTATAATATTTTATATTTACAATATTTTATATTTATAATATCATTTGTCATAGGAAAGAAAAAGAACTATTAAATTAAGGAATACTGGAACTGAAAATAGTTAGGGGCAGTCAAATCTTCTATTGTAGAAATTTCATTCAGATATCCCACAAACCTAGCAAACCAACCCACTACAATCCATGAGTAGAAGACATTTGTTCCTTGAGCATGGAACAAATTACTGAGTTTGCGTGGGCTTAAACAGTTGTTTGCTGGAGATACAGCTCTCCAAATTATCTCATAAAGCTTGTGAATTACAAGTTATACAAGAAAGCAGTCAGACGTAACTCCCTGGACAGCCCTAGTATCTCATGATCAGTCTTAAATGGCACTACACACCTGTTTTTTTGTTGATTTCTTGTTTCCAACTAACTAGTTCACCTCTACCACTGCAAGTGTTTATAGCTCTGCCTGTAAATTCTCTCTGCATCACACAGTACACAAAATCTGTGCACCAAAAAGCCTCAAGCTCTGAAGTTGCATTGATTTCAGTGATGCAGTTTTGAGTCCAAAGAAAAGAGTCAACTAGAATAAACTCCAAGGAGGATTTCCTCTGATTCCACCCTATTCCAAACATTTTGCGGTCTAAACTGAACATAATGGACTTAACTATACAAAAGTAAGGAATCAGCTACAGATGATGCACAGATGTGTGATGTAAAATGAATAAAATGTATTTGGATGTTAGCTAGCCCTAAAAGACAAAAGTCCAAAGAACATAAAGAAATGAAAAATATATATATATACATTAATTATGAAGACATTTCAGACTTTCAAGGCCAGGCTGGATGGGGCTTTGAGCAACCTGAGCTAGGGGGTGGCATCCGTGCCCATGGCAGGGGGTTGGAACTGGGTGATCTTTGAGGTCCCTTCCAACCCAAACCACTCTGTGATTCTATCATTTTAAAAAGCTTACTCGAACCAAAACATTCCTGGCTATCAAACAGAAGGCAGCAGTATTTATGCCCTATTTTCCATCTAAGTAGCTAAGTAGTTAGTTATGCGTTGTGTTTGAAAAGGATTGTTTGACAGCATGTTGAGGGAAGTGCAGTTATACGAATGGAATTTGAACTTGCATGTGATCACAAGAACTCATCTCCCCTGACGTTACTGTTGGACTTTGTGAATTTCCATTTGGCCATAAATGTAAATGCTTCTATTCAGCTCTATGCAAGTCTCTCTGGAGCCATGCGTCCAGCTTTGGACAACACCCTCAAAATTTTTTGGATTAGTTGGAAAAGACTAGAAGAGAAAAACAAGGAAGACCGAAATCTAAAAATGCACGGCCTGTTAGGAAAGATTGAAAAAATGTGTTTATTTAGTCTAAAGTAGGGAAAACTGAGGAGAAACATGACAACAGTCTTTAAATATGTAAAATACTGTGTAAAAAAAAACAAAAAACTGTAATAAATCAAGTCTTCTAGGAATAGGAAAAGAACTGATGAGTTTAAAATGGGCATAGGTGTTTTCAGCTAAAAAGCATTTATAATACAAAAGGCAGATAAGCACTAGAATTAATTACTCAGGAAGGATGTGAAACGAGCAGCATGGCAGACACAGAAGAACAAGCCATGCGTAACAGTCAGGAATGGTTTTCATGAAGTTGTCTTGCCTTCAGGTACGGAGATGACACAGATGACCTCTCCAGAACCTTTTCAGTGCTAGTTTTGTAGTTCCATCAATTATAAATCTCCGTCATTCACCAGCACTAAAGGGGGATTGCATCTGCTTCGTGTTTTAAGAGCAAGCAAACAATGCCAATAAAGCAGAACTTGTGACTTTTGCACCACTGCTCTGCAAATCACATTGCAGAACAACTGACATCTCCCCCTCCCTTAGCTGCACGACATGACAGCACCAGATGACATGATGGTGGGACACACTTGGGAGGTTTCTTGCTGTATTACAACTATTCGAAATGATAACTGAAATAATAAACAGATGGCTACTTAACAAGAAGTATTTTACTGAATAGGCTGGTTACAAATAAACCATTTTTTTAAATTCCAAAGTGAAATATATCTCCTCTAACCTGGTCCAAATACATTTTTCTTCTTGCAGATTATAATTAGCACCATAGAAAAGACATTCACTCTGTTAGACACTACGTAGGTAGCAAAAAGTTGTCTTGGCTGTAATCTCCTCAGCTAGTTGACTAGTGGAAGCAGGTGAGTTATTCTGTTTATCTATTAGTTTAACCGTATCCTTCCTGGAAAAAAATCACATTCATGAACTGTAACTGAACCTACCACAGATAAGCTGGAAGAATAGCAGTGATGGC